AAAGATCTGCTAAAGTGATTTCGTTTTGAAGAGACATTATTGTGTGCTTTGCAATATTGTATAGTGAAATCAGATCCTCAGCGGATAAGATTACATACTTTTTTAGGCTAAGACAAGTGTTCATGTTTTGTGAATCCATGTTGTCTTTTCTATGATAACCTTTTATTACTGCATGAGAATTGGTACCACCGAAGCCAAAACAATTAATGGATGCTATCCTGTTTCCGTTCTCATTTTCTGGCCATTTTCCGACTGATTTGCATACTTTCAGCTTGCATTCCTCGAAAGCAATTTTTGGATTCAATGATTCGGCATGAATTGACGGAACAAAGAGTTCTTTTTCCATCATCAAGAGTACTTTGATCAAAGCTGCAGCACCTGCACCAGATTCTAAGTGACCGATGTTTGTTTTAACAGATCCTATTGGTATTTTTTGTGATGCATATTTTGAAAAGAATGCTCCTAATGCGTTTACCTCTGTAAAATCTCCAACAGATGTCCCGGTTCCTAGAATAACATAGCTATTCTTAGAATATCTCTCTTTAAAAAATCTCAAAAGAATGGAGGCCTACAATGCAATGCCAATCCCCCACTCTGAGAAAAGACATTTCTCAATTCTATAAGTTAATGAAAGCAATTTAAAAAAAAAATTATATGGTTTATATTATCTTTTACACATTTAATTCTGTACTTCACTGTTTTAGTATTTTTTATTAAGAACCCTCTCTATACTGTTCTAATTCTATGGTATTTTTCTGCAATTAGAGTGATCTGCCCTAAATTCTAAAAAAATAGAAATTTACAGTATAATACTCAATTTGTTATAATTTCAGGTATTTTAAACATTTTAAAAGTAAGGTTAAATTAACTGAACATGCTATTATTTCGGTATGGAAGTAAACAACAGTGCTTTCTATTGACTGTATAATGTTGTCTTTGGACATTCTTCTCGAGGGTAAATGCCACGCGCGTCACCTGAGCATTGTGGCTAGCATAAAAGCAGAAATTAGTTTGTTATTGAAAAGTTTATATCCAAAAGTAGTCCCAACCATTCCTTAAAGGGGAGAGGGTATGATTTGCACAACCTTGAAACTACACTACCTGAGAATACTTCCATATAAAAACATGCATGACCAATCATGGCTTTGCTATTCTTGAGAAGATTTTAAAAGAATTTTACTATATATTTCTGTTAAACTTTGGCCAGCCAGTATGGCCCCACCCAACCCCCGGGGGTCATGAGTTGAACAAATCTGAATCTACACTAACTAAGAATGCTTCCATATAAATATGATCAATCATGGCTTTGTTATTTTTTAGAAGAAAATTTTAAAAGAATTTTCCTATATATATATGTAAAATTTTGGTCGGCCATTGTGCCCCCGTCCAACCCCCGGGGGTCATGATTTGAATAAACTTGAACTACACTAACTGAGAATGCTTCCATATAAATATGACCAATCATGGCTTTGTTGTTCTTGAGAAGAAAGTTTTAAAGAATTTTCCTATATATTTCTTTGTAAAATTTTGGTCGGCCATTGTGCCCCCGTTCTACCCCCGGGGTCATAAACTGAACAAATTTGAATCTACACTACCTGAGAATTCTTCCATATAAATATCACCAATCATGACTTTGTTATTCTCGAAAACAAGTTTTAAAAGAATTTTCCTACATATTTCTATGTAAAAGTTTGGTTGGCCAGTTTGGCCCCGCCCAGCCCCCGGGGGTCATGATTTGAACAAACTTGAATCTACACTACCTGAGGTTGATTCCACATGAGTTTCATCTTTCCTGGCCTAGTGGTTCTTGAGTAGAAGGTTAAAAAAATGCCTTTAATTTTTCAGTAATTCATAATTATCTCCCTTGGAGAAGGGCGTGGCCCTTCATTTGAACAAACTTGAATTCCCTTAACCTAAGGATACTTTGTAGCAAGTTTGGTTGAAATTGGTCCAGCGGTTCTTCAGAAGAAGATGAAAATATGAAAAGTTTACAACAAAGACAACGACGCCAACGACGACAACGACGACGACAGACAATGGACAAATTTTGATCAGAAAAGCTCACTTGAGCCTTCGGCTCAGGTGAGCTAAAAATTAAACACATTAGCTCAATATTGAATCCTTTATACACTATATTTTCTCAGTGTTCAAAAAACATTTTGCACATGTGAAGAGAGGGTCCTTAATAGTTAATATTTTTCAACCATGTTTTTAAGATATGTGAAAACAAAAAGAGAGAGCTTTATGTATGATTCAAACCCTCTCCATATCGTAATGTTTGGCACAAGACCGACGCAGAATATGCGTTATCAATGCCTTTCAATGTGATTTATATGAACGTGTTTGTTGAAGCGTACTTAATTTCAGAAATATTCGAATTTCGTGTAGAATGGGTTCAGATTCCATTTTTTGGACAAATGAAAGAGATTTCATATTTACCTTTCTATTATTTAAGTGTTAACGAAAAATGGAGACTTGACCCATTTATGTTCAAAATTCAGTTTTTATAGCTCTTGTAAACCTATTTTCCACTAAATATGTTTAACTGTCAACTTTGAAAAAAACAGCCAAATGGTAAGTCGTTCTGTAAAATAAATAAATAAAATGTTTTGAAAATGACATTACTGTGAACATGATTTTAGGAGAAAAAATAACTTTTCCGGGAATTCTGAAAATTGACAGACATACATATATTATTAAATCAGATCGGGGGATTTTCCACGCAATAAACGCCCTCTTTCTTTGCGTCAATATAGTACAATGAGTAGTAAAGGTCAAAATGAAAGCATGTGTTAACTTTCAAATAATACCGATTTAATTTAAAAAAAAATAAAAACCTCTTCCGTTTCCCAGCTTTATCAAGAATTAAGTATAAATACATGTGGATAAAACAATTGAAATACAGAAGTATTTTTTGAAGAAAAATAAAACTAGAAAGCAATGACTAATAAGTGAGAGGAAAGTTTTTTTTGTACTGGTTGAAAGAACGACACAAACGCAATCCTCATGACTCATCAAAACCTACACTTTATATATACTATGAATCTCAATATCCCTACATAAATTAATGCTATTCACAAATTATCTCAAAATAATTTCGCAAATCAAAATGTCAACAATCAAGAAGAAAAATGCTAATACACGACGAAGCATTTTCAAGAATGCTTGCTTGAAATAAAAAAAGTCTTCATTTTGAAAATTAGCTTGATTATTATGGGTATTTGTTTTGGAATCGTGAAAGGGGGGTCTTAATGAAGATCTACAATGAAAAAAGGCCTGAAAAGAATTGGATATGTAATGTGAATCACGCTTAATACAACCAGATGAAGAACTCTTCTATAATAATAATGAGTAATTTACCACCCAAGTTTGCAGTATAGATGTTTATGAATTTATCACCAGAATAAGATTTTAACACTGGATGAAAACAAGACTTGAATATGTTTATTACAATTTCAGAGATATTATGTTTATATTAAATTCCTTTTTTTTAGAATGAGTCATTCTTCTTCAATTTTTCAAGTCTGTATGATCGTTAAATAAAATTATGTTTGAAAAGAAATTACGAGTATGTACAGGTAACTGAAAACTAGTGTTATCACATTTTATAGTCTCTTTTCAGTAACAGTCAAGGTTTGAAGGATATCAGTACTCAGACCGTCTTAAATTAATATGACATGCATTACTGTTCACTAATATCAGATTGCCACAGGTAAATATTTTCAGACTGCAACAACAAAAGAATAACATCACAGCATGATGTTTGAGTTAGCCTGAGACCAGTATTAGTTTTGAAATATCTCTAACTTAAAGCTCGTCTTTGAATTACATTATGGCAAAAATAGCGTTGAAAATATAGTTTGCGTGAGGAATATAAAATGACTTTTTGCAACATTTCTGTATACTTTAGTGAGCGTAGTAAACTGTAATATACAGGCATGACGCTGTTGCTTTAGTTTATTCCGATTTTTTGGTAACTATTTGTTTTCCTTTTGAGAACGATATATGAATTTAGATTATCGCAAAAATACACTCTGATCCAATGAACACAATAAATCTGCTTACCATGGGCTTCTATGTATTGCACAGAACTTGGTGGAATATTGCTTTTTCTGTAAATTGTTTCCACTAGCTTTTCTTGCTGCTCACCAGATGGAGAAGTTATTGGAGAACTCAAATGACCATCTTGATTAAGCCATGTAAAAATCGTTCCCCATATTTTATTTCCGTCTTTGATGGCCTAAAATGAAAAAAAAACATTAAGATGTTAGTTAAACTCAAAATAAATTTATGCATTGCAAGGAAGATCTTAAAAAAACTATGTCTTGTTTATTATTATAGATTCAAATCAAAAGAAAATGTATTTCCTTACAGCATATTTTTTTGATTTTCATACATTTAGGATTTTAAAGCTATCAACAAACTCTGTATAATGGCGAATGGCTATACAATGCACGTTTGAAAGACATGAACAACTATCACTGACATTAATAATCTAATACAGGTAAAATAATCCTACGAATTTTTAAATATTTTAAATATCTCTTTTTCAAAAAAAAAAAAAAAAAAAAAAAAAAACGAATTAATTAAATTGATTTGTGCTTTAACGTTCAAATCTGTTAATGTAAAAGTGATTGAATTGGAAAACATTTTAAGGAATGAAGCTTATTTCAATTTTGTTATACATGTACGATATAACATAACTTGGGACAGTTTACGCTTTATAAACCGTGAAGTAGTTTAAAAAAGAGTAAACTGCCCGAAGTTAAGTTACATCGTATAGAATTAAAAGTTGAAAAAAAGCATTCCTTATCATTTAATTTCCGTATAGACAATGAGACAATTTTTCCCCAAGAAAAAGACTTCAAATTTTGCATACTAGTGTTTTAGAAGTAACGTCAAGCGGAGTTATACGTTTTGACGTTACTCATTGTGACGTAGGGAAGTTATGTTATACAAAATGGATTGTATATTTTACCCAATCAAATGACGTTTAATAATTAAAATTAAATTATTCACTTACAACAAGGTCGATTCATCCAAACCATATCAATTAATAGGACATACATGATCACTTCTGAATGTACATGTAGCATGCAAAGTATCGGATACTTCACTTACATCAGCAAGTTTCTTTAATATAACGATGCCACACCCTTCTCCGCGGGCATATCCATCAGCATCTTTTGAAAACGTATGACATTTTCCTGTTGGCGATGCCATCCTTGCAGATGATAGGTTTATAAAACTTTCTGGATCGAGAATAAAGCTGACACCACCAGCGATGGCCATTGATATCTCGCCTGAACCATGAAATGAAAGTTAAAATTATCATTAACTAAGTAAACAATTGCTTACCAAAGTAATTGATTAAATTACAACTACTTTGATAAACCATTTCCTTATGATTCCATTATTAATTTTATGTAAATTATTTTCAAGTGGGCAAAATAAATATTACCGTTTATTTTATTTTTTTTTTGTAATAATTAACCATACTGCTTGGTGGTTTGTTTAAAGATTTCTGAATTTCCAACAACGCTGACAAAAGCGAGCCTCATTAGGGGACATAAAATGACCATTCAGATAGAATAAGGATGTTTGTGACTACATGTAACTCTTAAAACAACAAGACCGAATGACACTACACGAACGTGAACATCCTCATAATCTTTGGACACATGTAAAAAGTATCCAAATAAATAAATAGAAAAGGGGAAATTATAAATTATTTTAAAGTTTATCTAAGTTTAGAATAAATGTACACGAGAAGTAATTTAAGGGAAATTACTGGAGTTTTATTATGTGAAAACTATAATAGAGATTTTTTAAAAATTTCATACCGTGTGTAACTTACATTTACTTCAGAATGAAGCTTATTTCAACTTATACGATTTAACATCACTTGAGACTGTTTAAGCTTTATAAGTCGCGAAGCAGTTTATTAAAAAGTGTGAACTGCCCCCAAGGCATGGGAAATGGATTTAAAGGGGCACAGGGGTTGTAGCCATTTTCAGGCTATTTCGACCTACTAGATCTACTTATAAGAATTTACAAAAATGTTCAAATTTTAAAACTAAAATGTATGAAATTTTCTTTGCCAAATGATACTTGACAACTTAAGATACCATATCATAAAAATGAATTCAAATTTGAATTGAAATATTTCAGTTAGCATTGGTCTCTTTTGATTATATAGTGAAAATGCATTAATTCTTTGAACTTTTTTTTGAAATGTGTGGCCCCAGGGTCATAGGTTCCTTTTGGGCGGGGGCTCTATATGATTACTGTTGTCTATTGCTGATTACTTGAAATGAATTTTTGGTTCTCGTACTTGTACCTATGGGTTTTAAATAAAACAAAACTGAATTCAAAATTGAGAATGTCATAGCCTTTGGTTTAAATCCGATCAAATTTATTACACGATTCTCAGGTGAGCTATCAGGTCTTTGTGCCTCTCTTAGTATTTTACATGAAAATATAAGAAATTTAAATACGTATTGACATCACTACCTCTGAGATATTTTGATGTACAATGTACTTATAATATAGACAATATCTCTCTTATCTCTCCTACCGTTCCGTAAAGCCTGTGATGCTGTATGTATGGCAACCATAGAGGAAGAACAAGCAGTTTCTATTGTCATCGCTGGACCAAGGAGATTGTAGAAGTATGCCACTCTTGCCGAGAGGATACTACTGTCTGCCCCTGTTACTGTTGTATTAGTACTGTTTTGTTTGGCCGAACGCAGTAGGCAATCCCAGTCATGATTCATGGCACCTAGTAGAAATCTACGAATTAGCAATGTACTTAACTGTATTTAAAGCTATAACATCGATAGGTTTTTCGTCACATTTTGCTGAAGTATATTTTTCTCACTAATTTTGTCTAATTTACAAAATAATAGCTATATAAATAGGTTTATGAACTACAAGAAGTAAAACACACGTTTTAAACGCATGTTTCTTATAAATGGATATTAGGTGAACAATTAGAAAGTTATTTTACGGAATCGGATGATATTTCTTTAAGAATACTGACGCTGTTGATGCTATATTAGTACAAATATACAATTTATAGCGCTATCAATATTATTTTTTCAAAGTCATTATATATGGCTATGACAATATTCTTGCATAGGTGGTATTTACTTTTTTTCTCATGAATGCTTATTTGTTCTGACCCCGGAGACATACTTTCATCACATAATAAAGAACAACGTTCAAATTATTGTTTTCAATAAGCTTTCAAATAAATTCCTTTTTCAAACGCTATCTTCTGCTATTGACCGTCGAAAAAGTGTTAATTTACATGTAAAAAAATGCAAATGTTCGCTTTTGAAATGAATCTTTACCACATTTACCTTTATATAGAAGCTTATTTATTTGTTTGTCCCTGGTAAGATTTTTTGTAGATATATTTATTTAAGTTTCCATTGCATCATTATTTCTATTGAATTTATGATCTGTATACAATACCCTTTAATGAATTTTGCACAGTGCTTACATTAAATAATTGAAGAAATTATTTAAGCCGTTTTTTTAATAAAAATTGTTCAGCTGCCCTCTCCCAAATAACTTTCTAAAAATGGCCCGACTCAAAACTTTTTTCACTACAGGGCACGATATTTTTTTATCTTTTTATTCCTCTTATCCCGTCAACAAATATGTTGAAGATTTCTTGAAAAAAAATTTAACCACCTACATGCATGTGTACCTATTGACATAATAAGAAATGACAAGCAAACATTATTTTAAGATAGCCCTAATAGCTGCATGAAATAAATTAAATGAGAAGATAGGCATGAATATGCTTTAAGTAATGAGATAAACAGGTCATTGAAAGACCAGAAAATATTTTCATTTTCGACTTTTTTCATATTTTATGCGAATTTTCATCGATTTTATAGTATATTATGGTTCAGAAAATATAGAACACAAGCTTAGCTATCTATCAATTCATAATTTATTTTTATACACTAACATCAAGTACACCTTGTATATAATAAATTCAAATAGGAAATGGTATATTGTATGTTCTCCGAAGTAAAAAGTATTTCAAATGTGAATAAATCCAACCAAACTCGAGGGAATTATCCACTTTTTTGTGGCCTCTGTGTAAACTTTGAATGAAAAATGGTCTTGTTTTAAAGATGAGAATCATTTAAGGTTCTGAACTACTCACTATCACAATTTAACTGTGATTTGATTTTTAGATCAAATAATCGACAGCATTAGGACGTTAGCGTACCGTTTTCTTTGCTTAAAAAATAATCAAAAAATAAATATTAAAAAACAAACAAACAAACAAACCCATATCCAAATCCAAACAATGGAAAAAACAAAAACAATTTATCCTTCAGGAACAATTAATCCTTCAGGACATCATTAAGTTAATTATAAACGATTTCATGTTTGATTAAGCCATCATTTGTCGAAAAGTGAACAAATTCAATTTTTTTTTAACCGTTTTATATCTTCTTTTGATTTTTTTATTCTATAATATAAAGGGTTTTCTTAATGTAGGATTCTTCTCGTATTTCTTGTATCTAGAAATTAATGACATTTTCATAGAATCTAGAAGACAGTGAAACTAAGAAATGGAATCAATTAGATTAAATTTGACCGTTTTATATTAGATGCATAGTCAGGTAAAGGTTATTATCTTTTTCAGGACATTAAAAATAAAAAAAATCCTGTTGCCAATGATGCGATGATACTTCAATTGAAAAACATTAAACGTTTTTTTTTCTTTTTGCATAAAAAGATATTATCATATAAGTTCTTGAGCATGATATTACCAAATTGACATAAATAACAACTACAATGGATACAGGCTCATCCGAACTATAAAAGAAAAATTTGGATGTAGTAGTTATTTTTATATTATCCTATATGTATGTTTTTCCCTATTTTCACATTCAATGAAGTAGTCATATTCATATAAAGATTCATAAACAAAAAGCTGGATCGTATACTAAGCGAGAAAGAGCAAGGTTTACTTTATAAATAAAATGGCCCTGTCCTTATCAATTAATAAACTATCAGTCTCTTTCCCATTTCATATATTAAAATAAAGTAGAGACTTATTGCTTTCAATTCCTGTATTAAATTTCTTTTTTGAGAATCTAAGTATTGGAAAGGAGGCTTTAAGAAAATGTTATGTTCTTGGATTTTGCAGAAAACATGCGTTTTTGATTACATTCAGCAAAGAATAAAAATATGAGCACAGCCCGCGATCCAAAAATTAAATCATCCTTTATAATCTTGATGTTTACAGGATATGAGGAAAATGACACATTTTATGACGTCCTAATGCATTGACTAGAAGAAAATTACCTCATGTTAAATAGATACATTGTCACAAACAGTCTAAATGATGAATACTGCATTTTCAACATAAACTAAACAGTTTTGATTTTTCAGAAATTCCGAGGACCAAAAAAAGGCCCTAGGTGGCTCTTGCCCGGACTTTGAATGGATTTTTGGCTGAAATCCGTACTTAAATTGGAAGTTCTTAAAAAGCTCATAATAGAAGTTTGTTTTATAAATCATATTTAATAGATATTTTTCAAAACTTTTGTTCATTATCATTAATTTAAATTACATTTAAAAATTTCTTCAAGTCTTTGAATGTTTAAAAATTGTTATTAAATTCAATTTACCATTTCTATCTGAAGTTTCACATATATGCGATGAGGAAAGAAAAATATGATCTTTTTAAAATCGTATAAATATAGAAGACGTATAATCAAAATTATTTTACTTTTGATATTTCATCAGCTGGTCAGAGACCAGACAGGAATCCTACTCTAAATGTTTTCAGCTTTTATCAGTTATTCAATTACCTAATATGTATTAAGTATCGGTAATATTCAATTACATTTGTTTTAAGAGATTATATATAAAACTAGAGGTACTGTGAGCAATGAGCTCAGTAAATGATACATGTACCCCGCCTCACATATGAAGATAATGGGTGTGTCCAAGTTTTGTTGCGGGAAACCCAAAATGTATGTCAGATCAAAATAAAAATAAAGGTGCAATATGTACTTAAGATTCTATGAAAGTTTTATCAAATTTCATTCAGTGGTATGAGAGGAGTTGCGGATAAAAGATTGGTACCCCAAAGCGTAGCAGACAAACGGACGGACATACCGATTAATATATACCCTCCCGCTTTTCAAGCCGGGGGTAAAAAAATTATAACAGAACTCGAAATAAGTGATGACCAGCTGGTCCGGGCTATTACATCTACATGTAGTACTTGTGAGTGCATCTGCCCTTTTGGACAGTTTTTTTAAGCCTGACAGAGTTAACGTTGTGTGTGCATGCTCTGTCGATTATTGTTTTGAAAAACAATATTACTGATTATCACAATCTGAACATTAGATAAATATTTTGATTATGGTTTTGGGCCAGTCATTTTTTTTTAAATCTACTGGCCCAATAGGACAATGAAAGAACTAAGCTTTCCAGTAAAAAGGGAAATAAGGCGATATAGGGATATAAAAGTAGAAGTAAAAAAATGTATTTTAGTCGTATTTCATGCTGTTAATGAGAGACACTTTAAAAATCTTTAAATTTCGTCGTCAAAACTCTAAGAGTACTGATCATTTCAAAACGCATTCCTCTGACACATCATTCTTTAAGCTACCAATTCTTGTAGCAATGAATTACAATTACAAAGTTCTTACCGATGTAGACACCGGTTTCAGAACCATTTAATCTTTCTCGGGTTATTCCACCATCCTCAAGAGCCATGTGAACTGCTTCCAGTACAAAACGTTGTTGCGGATCGACGAGTTCAGCCTCTTTGTCGCTAATCCCAAAGAATTTATTGTCCCATTCATTGAAGCTAGATGAAAAAAACCCACTCATAACATATCAGCTGATCATAATATGTTGATAACAAAGATAAGACGAGTAAATTAATAAGAATCAAACGTTTTGATTATTATACGTGTATACGAGTTTCTCCTCATTTTTAAAATAGGGCAAAGGGAATAAGTAAAAATACGTACACTTTAAGTGACTTAGACAATCAGTATTGATGGATTTATTCAGGTAAATCCATAACTTGGATCTTACTTCCTTGCTTTTGTTAATCTTGTATTGTATGACTTTTTATTCCCTATATATTATTTATATATTTTAATATTTTTTTTTTTGCTTTCGTTTCATCTTTGTTTTTTTTTCTTCAAGTATTGTTCCCATTATACCTGTCATTCAATATTTATATGCATGTAGTTGACAGTTAATTTAAGGAAACGGATTAATATATAACTTGTCACAACCGAATCCTGTATGTATTATTAACTGTGTATATTTGATGCCTAATTAAAATGAAAAAAAGTTTAAACTTAATCCATAATGTAGTGTGGTTTTATACATTTTCTTGAATGATTTGTTATGGCGAAATATGCACTCAAGATGAAATCCAATGAATGACTGCCATACCTATCCCTTATCTTGAACGATTACTGCGGTTGTCTGATTCATATGAGCATTTAGTTTAAAAAAAAAGAAATGTCAAAAGGTAAATGTCACCCTAAATTACATCACATTAAAAATGTTCAATGAGGGTTGATGATTTATCCCTTAGAAGAGCTGATAAGACAACAGAGTAATTTTCATACAGGAAGTTGATATGCAGGTAAAGAAATTTAGGGTCACTATTCTTATATATAACTATTCAATTTTCCTTAACTTTCAGCTCTTTCGATTTGAATATTTCTAAGCAATTAATTATGGTTTTTTACATATATTTCCTGACTTGCATACCATTATTTCATATCTGATCATGTGCAGTATTACATGAAAAGATTCATGCTGCATAAATAAGTTATACACGTGTACCAAATATTTTAATAAGACGTGTACATCATTATCATAATTTATCCAATAACTTGGAAAATACTTTTTTTCTTGTCATTAATCAAAAATTGATATTACTTTTGTTTTCAAACAAGTATTGAAAAATTCAAAAATTTATCAAAAAATAAGGCATTATCACTTGTTAATAATACACAAAACAAACAAAATTAAGTGCGTGGATTTATCTTTTTTGACTAATTTTAATGGAAATAAAAATCAATTTCTTCAATATAAAGACATTGTAAGTTTTCTTTGGTGCTCAGATATGCAGCTTTGTATCGTTTATTATGTAATCCTATGTAAAAAATGGATTAATTTTAATATACTAGCTATAGTGCAGTGCAAAATGTCACTTTAAATGCAACCAAAAATCATAAAGACAATTTTAAAAAAAAAATTTGTTTAGCTATGTATAAAGATAAAAATAATTAAAGTAAACTTTTCAAAAATAAATCCTAGACTTGTGATAACAGGATCTGGCCTTGATAAATCAAGGGATTAGAAATGTTCATACTATTGAGCAATTCTGAGAAAGAAGTATTTTAGAAATCTGTTCTGAAAAGTATACCTTTTTACGAGTCCAGCTTTTCTGACGTAAGTTTTACGTGGGCTGTCTGGATTGGGGTCGTAAAACGCATCAACATTGAATCTGTCAGGGGGGATATCCTGGACGTGATCTTCTCCATTTACAAGAACCCTCCAGAATTCTTCTATATTGTCCGCCCCAGGAAAGATACAGCCAATTCCAACGACAGCGATGGTTGTATCTTCCTCCATTTCTTATCCTACAAAATTCAAATCTGACATGACATTGAATTTTAGAAAAGAAAAAAATTGAGTGAATCAATTTCTAATTTTTCGTCGAGCGCTAGTTCCGGTATTTATAGAGATGGCCACATCAAAGATTATTGAAAGATATGATGTCACCACTGTCTGATTGGTCATTTAGACAAATCGAAGGTGTCTCCGCCTCCTGTTTCCATGAATTTTACGAGAAAAGTTTATTTTTTGTCAATTTAATTCCAAAAAAGGTAAAACATATAGCTAAAGATAAGTTATGTAAATATAATTATATGTCGAGAGAGAAAAAGGTGATGCGCATGCGTTGTTACAGACAACCATCAAAAGAGAATTTTTTTTCCTAGGTAACGAATCAAAACACCTGGATTGATTCCGGAAGTTGAAGAAAAGTGAATCTTTCCATTAATGTTCTGGAATGAAAATGGAAAAGTAAGTACTAATCTTATTTATATTTGATTTCAAAATTTTGATAAAAATGATTACAGCTTTCTGTGTATCTTTATCACGTTGTCGAGTTGTAAAAATGATAACAATAACAAACTTCTCCAGCATGTCGAGGTACAAATAGTAAGTCATCTTAAAAATAATGCTTGCATGACCTCTCCTGACTCAAAGCAAAGTTATCGAGTCGAATTTTTATTTTCTCCCAAAATAATTGTCAACATATTTGTTGACAGAATAAGAGAAATAAAAAGAAAACAATTAGATAGTCCTGGAATGTAAATATAAGTTTTGAGTCTGGTCATTTGTAACCAGTCGGTCGCGAAAGGGCAATCAAACGATTTTTCCAAAAATGACCCTGTGTTTGTATTTTATCCTAACATAGAAGTAAAATTTCGTAAGTAAAATATCATATGTCTATATTTTTTATCCTAACATAGAAGTAAAATTTCGTAAGTAAAATATCATATGTCTGTATTTTTTTTCATTATGAAAAATGAGTTAATTTTATATGTACGCTTCCAAATGACTTTTGAAATTAGTATTTTGCTTTCTTGCAGGAAGAATACTTTGGTTCATGTCAAAGAAAAAAGCAAGAAGACATGCTTCAGCAATTGCTATACAAAATATGAAGATCTTATGGAGTCACTTTTTGAACGTATTGGGATTTTTATTAGCCATTTTCCAATTACCATACTAATAATTTGCATTTTAGTAAACGGGGCATTTATGTCTGGTTTCATGTGGCTTAAATCGGAAAACGATGTTGAAGTTCTCTATACACCAGAAAATAGTCAGTCATTCTTGAATAGAGAATCTCTAAAACAAATTTACAGAGATCCTACCGGAGAAAATTTTCACCCTTATCAATTACCAGATTTTGGAAAGTATGCAGATTTAATTATTTTTTCAAAGGAAAGGACGAATTTGAACTTGTCCGTGATAGCAGAAATGCGACAAATTGACCAGTATGTCAAAAATTCAATATTTGTTTTTGACTCCCATGGTAAAATGATATATTTCAAAGATTTATGTGCAATGAACCTGGAGAAGTGTGCTATATATGGTGACATTGTCTTATCCCTCGAATTTCAACAGGATTTTTTGTCGGGAAAAGCTACTTTTCCATTATACAAAGGGACACTTCTTTCATCCATATTAGCCGATGCAAAAAGCAAAAATGGTAACCTGACTTCAACTTTTGGTATAAAACTGCGCTATTATCTCCGCCAAGACAATATTTTGTCATCTAACTGGGAGACCAACTTTCTGGAAAAGATCAATCTATTGAAAACAAACTTAACAGACATTTCTTATGCAACATCCGAATCACTTGGGGAAGAGTTGGAAAAGAATACAAATGGGGACATTCAATTTTTCTCCCTTACATTTACATTAATGTTGACATATGCTTGCATTGCTTCCTCGTCATCTTTTTTAACGTGCAACAATGTTGCAAATCGCATCATGCTCGGGTTAGCTGGTGCATTCGCACCGATACTTGGGATAGGATCTGCACTTGGGGCAGTCAGCGCCATTGGAATAAAGTTTACAAGTATTGTTGGTGTGATGCCGTTTCTTGTTGTCGGTAATAAATTTTTTTTCCCATTCGAAAGCAACCTTTGTAAAGAAGTTAATTTATGTCATCTTCTATATAAAATCTTTTGTTTTGATAAAATTGTTATATATCAACGCATATTTGTAATTATGTAATAAAAGTTATTGCTTTATATTACAGACCCCGCTCAATGCTCAATTGTGCAATGTAACTTTTTTTCTCTCAGACATACATATGTATAATCAAATGAACGTATATCTGATAGGTATTGGCATAGATGACATGTTCATATTGATGTCTGGCATTGCTGAAGCTCCATCCCTCGGTGCTTCATCGATTGAGGAAAGGATGAGATATATGTTGCAGAAAAGTGGGATTGCAATAACAATCACCTCTATCACTGACCTACTTGCATTTGGTATTGGAGCAACATCCGTTTTTATCAGCATAAAAAACTTTTGTATTTTCACAGGTAATTTCATTTAATTACCCAACAACCTTTAAAAATCTTTAAAAATATTACTAACCATTAAAGACTTAATTTTAAAATGTTTTATTGCTTTATCTCAATTACCAATGAAAATAGAAAAAAAATGAAAATTCGCTAGAATGGAGATAATCTTGAGCTTAATATAAAATGTTGTTGAATAGATAAAACATAATTTAAAAAAAATCAAAGGAAGAAAAAGATTTATCTGTGCCAATTTTAAATAAAGACGTGATAAATAATGACTTCAGTCTGAAGTCATTCCGCCCTAAAGGTATTAACAAACTTAATGACTTCACTAGGATGAACGTGAACTAGACCCAATACGGGATTGTAGCAAACAAGTAACCCTTAATTTGCTTTAACAATTCTGGAACAACCCACTCACGTATTTATAAAGTATTTTTCAATTTCTTTTATCCGATCAACATTTCCAAATTCTTGATATATTCTAATTCTATCTGTACAATTGCCTCTCTTTATTATCTTTCTGCTGTTTCTTTTTATCTTAGAAAATTCCGCTATTTGGAAAAAATAACACAATGTACGATTTCCTAAGTAATTAGTAATAATTCACCCAGTCGATTGTGTAAATTGCACTTCACCAGAGTACACACGACAGACCAGACGCATTTCCAGGCGCTCTGGATTTCTTTATCAACACCTGATCAGAAACTGCAAATTAAACATGTAAAATTGTAAATATTTAGTGTTTAGTAGTTTAGGTGTAGTGCTAAATGTTTAATTTTTTTGCCTACTCGGCGTTAAACAATATTCAATCCATCAATCAATCTTTTGTTTTTATGACTTCTTAGCCTTTTCTTTTATCTCAATTTGCAGGGAATCGAAGGGACAGGTAGTCCCGAAAATTTGGCAATTCCTTTTGTTCGTTGCAAAAAAAAAATTTGATCAGAGTTTTTCCTTAGATAAACTACATGTATGTTCAAAAGATAAACGCTTACAAATATTTTTTCATAATCATTCAATATTTACTCACCTAAAAACAGATCTTTTACTTAAACAAAGATTCATAAGAATGTCATGATTTTATTGTGTCTATTTTTGCATTCTTTTTAATTTTGTAGGTGTTGCTGTATTTTTCTGTTATCTAAACCAGCTGTTCTTTTTGTGCCCTGCAATATGTTTGAATGAGAAAAGAACTCGACAGAAAAGACATTTTTTGAGTTGCATGAAGATAAAATCATCGAACGAGGTTTCAAAAGCAAGCCTACATAAGTATTGTTGTACCGGGGATATTCCAGAGAACAGAGGGGATGTAGAGAGTGCTTTAGAAAAGTATCCAAAATTATTTGTTATCCGATTTCTTTTAAAGCCCATCCTTGGAAAAATAATGATCGTTATTGTTTTTATGGCATACATAGGTGCCTCTGTTTACGGAGCAATCAATTTGAAGCAAGGTCTTTCATTATATAATTTAGTTTCGGATCATTCATACTTTTACAAATACAGTGTTTGGGACGAAGATTATTTTACAACAGAACCTATTATTACTTTATGTATAAGAGGTGAACAAAAATACTCTTCTCAAATGACGCAAAATATTATTTCGTCTATTTTATCCAAAGCCCTAACTGACCCAAATATTGATAAAAATTTTGAAATAAACTGGTTACAGTCGTATACAGATTCAACATTTTACAAGAACAATACAGAGAAAGATTTTATCATTGGTTTAAAAAGTTTCCTGAACACCTCTAAGCAATTCTACAACGATATTGTTTTTAATAAGAACCAATCTAGCATAATTTCTTCAAAAATTTATGTCAAATCTTTGAACATTCAATCTACAGAAGCACAAGGATCTCTTATGCTACGCTTACGCGAATTAAGTGATAATGCTGATATACCAAGCTATTTTTACGCTCCAGCATTCATTTTTTATGAACAGTTCGTTCAGATTTGGCCAAGCACTCTGCAAACTGTTGGGGTTGCTCTTGCAGTTATGTTTGTAATAACAATCTTATTTATGCCTCATCCACTCATGGTATTTATTGTTACGATAACACTTGTAAGCATTTTGACTGGAATATTCGGTTTCATGCATATCTGGGATTTGACTTTGAGTTCCATTACCATGATCCATCTTGTGATAAGTGTCGGTTTTTCTGTAGATTTTAGCGTGCATATCTGTCACGCCTTTTTGACAGTCAGATCTGAGAAACGGGACAAGATTCTACAATTAGCATTTGATAAAGCCGGTGGTCCAATATTCAACGCAGCATTTTCCTCTTTACTTGGAATAGCAATGCTTGGCTTATCTCAAAGTTACATTTTTCAATCATTTGGTAAAGTTATGTTTTTGGTTATAGGGTTCGGACTTCTTCATGCTGCATTATTTTTGCCTCTTGTACTGTGGTTTCTATTTCCATGTTTCTCAACTAAAAAAGATGACAAAAATAACATACAAAAGCCAACCCCCCTTTTCTCAATTTGTGCTGAAAAATACGATAAGAATGATCTATCACAAGACAATAAAGAACCCATTCAAATTTCAAATATAATTGATTTAAACGTGGAAATAAGTAGAAAACTAAACCTAAAACATATTTCAAGTTGTACTCACAGTGCAAACCTATCGCTTAAATGTATCCAATCAATACCAGTCGTGTATGCTATCGACAAAGTCCTCGCTTACACTCATAAGAAGGTTGCGATATATTCATCTGGAAAACATGAACTCAGCTACTGGGAGTTATTTCACTCTTTAGAAGACTGAAAAAAATCATACTTAACATAGGAACATATCACAATAACTTAAAATCTTTTGTTAGGATATTTTATCACATAACATTTCTTGTATGTTATAAGATATTACTGTACCAGGAAGTTGCAATAAGCATAACATTATTGTCTAGATTTGCATTTCATAAAGATTTCATAGTCACGACGTCTAAATCTGAATTGATCTTAAATTGAAAGCCTTTATACTTTATATGCGATGCTATAAGCATAACATTATTGTCTAGATTTGCATTTCATAAAGATTTCATAGTCACGACGTCTAAATCTGAATTGATCTTAATTTGAAAGCCTTTATACTTTATATGCGATGCTATAAGCATAACATTATTGTCTAGATTTGCATTTCGTAAAGATTTCATAGTCACGACGTCTAAATCTGAATTGATCTTAATTTGAAAGCCTTTATACTTTATATGCAATGCTATATTTTAGATCAAATTACAATTTTTTTTTGTAAATTATATGTATTCTGCAAATAAAATATATATGTACATATCGTGAAATCTTGATAATCTTTTTCATCTTAGCCACAGTTACTACAACGGGTCTTATAGTTCAAGAAAAATGATCCGTCGTGTCTCTTTCCTTGATATACATACAACATTTTAGGATGTGTGTTGTTGAAACCTCAAAAGAACTCTAGACAAATGAATGTAAAACAATTTTAACAAGAGACAATGACATTAAGGTTTCGTCAAAGGTCAACATGTCTAAAAAAATTATTTTTACAATAGCTCCAAAACTATGTGTGATATAAAGTTAAAATGTTTACAGTTTATAAACATATCATTGATTAATAGATAGAAAGGATCACTTGATAACAAAATTTTGATATTTAAAAAAAATGTTTTTTGAGAAAAATTGTATCAGAAAATGTGCATATTTAAAGAGAAATGCACATGCTTAATTCTGTCCTTTTTGTGAAAACCATCATTGCAGAAATAATATATGTTAATTATTTAAGGCAAGTTGGACGTGAATGGTCTCTAAAAGGCTGTTATTGAAAGCATGACATGTATAAAGAAAACCTGTGTAGAACCCGCCATTTGCAATGTACTTTCGCTTTCAAGTCTTTACATTAAGACAAAATAAACAGGGAAAACATATTTCCAGAGGCTATCCAAGTCCAACTTGCCCTTCATTGATAAACATATTTTGTTTCTGCAGTGATGTTTTTCACTAAAAGCTCGGAATTAATTATGTGCATTTTCTGAAAAAAAAATATGCATTTTTAAAAAGATTTTTTCGCAATTTAAATATTTCTATAAGTATTTTTTAACAAGTGATACTTTATACTTGTTAATCAGTGAAATATTTATAAACTGTAAAAGTTTTAACTTTATACCTCACATAGTTTTGGAGTTATTGTAAACATAAATTTTTGGACATGTTGACCTTTGACGAAACCTTAAAGCGTACGAATTATCAACGTCTTATCTATTCCCTCATAGGCTTTCTGGAATCATAGATAGCTGCTTTTAAATAAAATTGAAACTTCCTATTTACAAATCTTTTCATTTTTTAAGTGTTGTATTGAAAGCAATCTTGATGTGTGTTAAGGCCATTTTAAGTTTTTTTTCTCTGTTTCGTGTCCACCCAACTTTCAAAAACCTGCCCTCCTATTAACAAATACACACAAACCAACATTCATTCAAACGATATCATCTTGTTATTTACTTTTATCTAGAAGTTTACAAGACTAAAGCATAATGCTAAAAATATACATAATATTACCTGCTGTACACAATCAGATGGAGATATTGACAAACATCAAATGATTTAAGCAAACACATTAAATTAAGAATTTTTGATTTTCTGTGCTTCTTTTCTAATATGGAATGTCAAAAACCCATCCAAATGCAGACGCATAACATGGAAAACTCGAGTAATGGCCTAAACATGATGAGTTAAATTTGAACTTTCACTCGCCAATATTTAGCAATATACCATCATCACCTGCACCTTACATATGAAGTTTATGTCTTTTTTTTAGTATTTCTCATGCAAATTGACATGTATTTCTTGTGACAAGATCGTTCTTTGGGTACCACCAAATTTGAACTTTTGACTGGAGTTTGACCTACTTTTAAAATACAACCTTGGTCATAATTTTTGAATGATTAGGACTAGGGCTTTCATACTTTAAATATTTAATCCTTGTTACACGACCTTTCAAATGGTATCAAGAAACGTGACCTTTGACCATAACCTTGAAGTTCGACCCTCTTTTACACAAACATTTTTAACTTTTACTTTGGCAATATCTATTGAATAGTAGATACCAGGACTTTTATATATTTCATATACGCATTCTTTGTGGAAAGACCTTTCATTAAGTCCCAACAACTTTGACCTTTTGATCTTGACCTTGGAGATTTCCGTACACTGTACTTACGAAAAAACTTTGCCCATAACTTTTGTACGGTGAAGGCCAGCGCTTTTATACTTTACATATGACTGTAATCTTGGAGACAAGGCTTATTTTTAGAAACCAACAACCGAACTTTAATTACAAACATATTTGATCGGCATTTTAGAAAGATTAACCTTTGCTATGTTGCCATACGGGGGCATCTGTGTTTTACAAACACATCTTGTTTTTTTTCAAATTTTGCAAAGAATGATGGTTAAACGTGATATTCCAAAATCGGGGTATGTAATGTTCAAAAGGCTAATTGATATGGCCAAGAACGATAAAAATTTGTGGTTTTGTTAACCTTGAATATAATTATAAATGATTTATGAGAAAAAAGGCAGGTGAAGAGGTAAGTATTTGATAATTAATCAAAAGTAAGGTATATTAATATGTGATTTTCTTCTGAATGCCTTAGAAAGATTCAATATCAATTTTTAATGTTTTCAATGGTAAAACTTCAAAATTTCTCTTAGCAAAAGAATGTTATTTTGGATAAGTTTTAATCTAAATAATATGATATGTTTCGGTGCGTACATGTATCTCTATGTTAATTTCTAATTATCTAATTTTCAAAGGTATGTAATAAAAACAGGTTGTATGAAAATAAGCCTAAAATAACGTGTGTCTTTTACGATTTTTAGTTATTTAATGAGATAAATGAGATATTTAAGGTATTCAAGTGAGAAAAAAAATTAGTTGGACAGTAAAATTTGAACGTCCGGACCTACCTATCAATATACATGTATAGACATTGACACATGTAGCCATTTATGATGAAAACCTCGTTGTTAGAACTTGTGTGCAAATGATTTGTATACTATTAATACAATAACATATGTCCCAACAAATAAAGTTACGATTTTTTAATAAAATCCTAAAATCAAAAGGGCACTTTGCATCGCGACAGGGTCTCATGAGGTCACTTACTCATCATCGAAATTAAAACATTTATTAATTTTTACATACTTTAACATGTTTAATTACTTTTAATATCATTTCATAATGAAATCTTAATCAAGAAAGTAATTTAAAGATAAATTCATATATCTGTGCTCAATTCATTTTTAAAAATAATGCCAACACAATTATAACACCTGACAGAATACTTATTATAACAAAAGAATATGAAAAAAGGTCTTAACATAATTTTTTTTAAATTGAAAAAATTAGTCAGGTTACACTAGAGAAAGTAATAGGCATGAATCTAGCTGAAACAATGCCCGTGGATTACTATAGTTGGGAAGTGGTTTTTTTTCCTGCTTAGACTGTGTTATTTGTGTACTTCAGTCAATTTAAACATGTTTTCTAGGGAAAGGGGGGGGGGCTTCTTGAAAAAATACATGTAGAGGCCATTTTCTTTACTTGGAAAAAATATACCAAGATGATTAAGTGAAAACTGATCATAAAAAATGAATGCCTTTTACAATATAAATTTGTTTTTAAAAATTCTGGTTTCAACAGTTAAATTAGAAACATTGAACCTCAGCTTGTCAAATCTATAAGTTCATTCAGACTAACTTCATTCATATTTGTTGTTTTCAAGCCTTTTTATCATATTACATTCAGGATTCGGTGCAATGAAAGTTAACTTTATTCAGATAAAATATAAGTTTTCTTTATCAACTATGTGTTTTATTCTACTTTCGGTTAAAAAAACGATCCTGAGTTTAATTAGATAATAGTTTACTAGTTAACTTATCTATTGTATTAGGCTAATTCTTGCATAATCAAACAGATCTTTCTTCTTTCTTTCTTTATTTTTAATTTACTTTACAGCTTATCAGTATACAAAATAATCAGTTTCATTACAGTACAGAAGTGGATAATTTACAGGAGAATAATGTGTACGTACAAAAATGATAGTATACAGAAACGCAAAAGAAGCGCAAAAAGCAGTAATCTACAAATGTTTGATTTTTTATCTAATGATTTTTTAAAAAATGAATACAGTAAGGCTAAACTCACTTTTCCGAATATCAGAAAACTTATAAAAATGTTAAATGTTTATCTTTTAACTTTACTAAGTAACAACATATGACTGTTTAAATTATGTGTCCCCGTTTTGCACACATTTGATAATTAGGTATAGAACAATAGGTGTGAAGTGTGTTTTCAAAGCAATTGTAGTCTGATTTTTGGTTTGGATTTACCTGGATTTACCTGTGAATACCTGATTTAGCTTAATGTATTCTTAAGAGGTGTAATTTAATTTAATAAGAATTTTATTAAAATTCTATATATATTTATGGGAAAATATTTGATTTTATTGAGTAAATTATCAATTATTTAATTATCATATCATTTATTAATTAAGTCCAATTTCTTTAAAAAAAAGATACTTTTCAATCTTGATAAAATTCTAAATGAATTAAAGATATAACAAATAATAAAGAAAATAGAGAATAAAAATTAATTTGAAAAATAATGCCCAAGCCAAGAAGATGTTAAGATCATCAGATAATTATAAGATCGAAGTTACGATCCATGATTGCTGCTGATCTAAGCTGGTAAAATTTTAATTATTATAATTTTGTGTCTTTCAATGTTAGTAAATTGTA